CAGGCACCCTGAGAGTGATGTTTTTCTGGAGAAAGGTTTATATTTTACTTTTAAAAGGGAAAGCATCTAATAAAAGGTATTCACTGTCGAGACATGATTATTCCTAAATCCCACCCACTCATATCATTTATTTGTTAGCAGACATTCATTTTTATTTTATTTTATTTTATTTTATTTATTTTATTTAATTTTATTTATTTTATTTTATTTTATTTTATTTATGATAGGCACACAGTGAGAGAGAGAGAGAGAGAGAGAGAGAGAGAGAGAGAGAGAGAGGCAGAGACACAGGCAGAGGGAGAAGCAGGCCCCGTGCACCGGGAGCCCGACGTGGGATTCGATCCCGGGTCTCCAGGATCACGCCCTGGGCCAAAGGCAGGCGCTAAACCGCTGCGCCACCCAGGAATCCCCAGACATTCACTTTTATAGTTTTGAATAAGCCTGTAGAATCATGAGCTTATACTTTGAAACTTTTTTTTAAGGAAGTGCCCGAAGGTCTGCTTTATTTGAGACTCCTAGGATATTATATCCAGATATATAAGTTCGATTTCAGCACCTGAGGCTTTCAGAAAGCACAACATTCTGCATCAAGGCTGGTTTAGAGAAGCCCCTGTGATAACATACCAAAGATACAAACCACTTCCTTGTCAGAACATCACGCGTTGAAGATGGAGCTGCCTGTAAATAAGCAAAAGAAAGTATATTAAGCACAGAAGTGCAGTTACTGCATATGTGGAGTAGTATTTCAACGGCAGGATGAATACTGGTGAGAAAGGACAAGGACTCAGCTCATGCCAGGTATAGGCATAGCTTAATGATGAGTGTGAAGAATTTGGGCACATATGAGGAAAAGCACTACTTAGGTTCTAGCTTCTATTGATGTTAATGCGGGGTGGGGTTTTTTTCTCCAAATTGTATATTTTAAATTGTTATATGATAATTTCAGTAACTCATCTTATGTTCCATGTGTTCCATGTGTGATATAATTATTAGCTAAAAAGTAAAATGAAAAGGATTCTGTGCTATTTATTGTACTTTTATTTTACATTTTTAACTAGTACTTGGCAACATCTACTTTTCTAGCTCTCTCAAAGCATTTTTATGTAGTGAAGTTAAAATTATCTTTATTTTTCAAAATAAGGTGATTACCACCTTATATTTATCAGCTATTCTTCAAATGGCATTTTAGAAAATAACTATTATAACATGTTCATATCTAGAACCGTAAAAGCTATTCTGACATACTCTAAGAGCTCAGCATTCTACTCTGTTTTTTGTTTGTTTGTTTGCTTAAAGATTTATTTATTTATTTGAGAGAGAGTGAGCGAGCAAGAGCACACAAAGGGAGAGAAAGGCAGAGGTTCCCGCTGAGCAGGGAGCCCAATGTGGAACTCAATCCCAGGACCCTTGAGATCATGACCCAAGCCGAAGGCAGATGCTTAACCAACTGAGCCACCGAGGCACCCCACATTCTGCTCTTTGATAAAAACTAAAAACTAATATAAAACTTAAGATAGTATGACCTTTTTTTTTTTTAAAGATTTATTTATTTGGGAGGGTGGAGTAACCTGAGCTGGAGGAGGGGCAGAAGGAGAGGGAGAAAGAATCCCAAGCAAACTTTGCACTGAGCATGGAGCCTGATGTGGGGCTCAGTCCCACAACCCATGAGATCATGACCTGAGCCAAAACCAAAAGTCAGGTGCTTAATCAACTGAGCCACCCAGGCATTCCATAGTGTGGCATTTATATAGTATCCCACATATATGGCATAGTACCATGGTGCTTCTTTCTTAAAGCGATAATAGGCACCTGTAATATGCTAAACCATCAGGATATATGAAATATTTACTAAATATGTATTTATTCACTAGCAAATATGTCTTGATTACTTATTTGCCATGGCAAGCCACTGTACTAGGCATTAGGGACACAGTAGTAAATAAACATGCTCCCTTCACTCACTGTTCTTAGAGTTCAGTGGGGAAGATAAACAAAAATAAATTAACAAAAACTAGAAGGGAAAATTACAAATTGCGGCATTATTAAGGAACAAGTAGAATATTGTTTTTTTTTTTAATTTTTATTTATTTACGATAGTCACAGAGAGACAGAGAGAGAGGCAGAGACACAGGCAGAGGGAGAAGCAGGCTTCATGCACCGGGAGCCCGACGTGGGATTCGATCCTGGGTCTCCAGGATCGCGCCCTGGGCCAAAGGCAGGTGCTAAACCGCTGCGCCACCCAGGGATCCCTAGAATATTGTTAATACAGATTCATCCACGTTGTAAAATCTGTTCCATTTTCTTGTGTTAGTATTTCATACTGATGATCATTGTTCCTTAATAACTTTGAAAAGAGGTGATGGATTTGACCAAATTGTGTGTATACATTTATTTATTCAACAACAACAAAAAATTGACAGAATGCTATGTGCCAGGCACTGTTCTAGGCCTAAGAGAAAGTATGAACAAAACAAAGTTACTGTGTTCATAGTGATTTTATCCCAATGAGAAGTCAGTAAACAAATATGTTATAAATGTCAGGAAGTGATAAATGATGTGAAGAAAAGTCAAGTAGACCAAGAGGTTACAGTGTGACCGGAATACTGTGCTCTTTGCAAGGACTGAGGGGTCTCTGAGGAGATAAACAATTTTCCTTTTTTTGTCTCTTGGGTCAGTTCAGTTAATGAATGCAGGATTCAAGACAATTTTTGTGTTTGTTGGTATTGTTCATATAATCATTAAAACAGCTATGGTGAGGTCCTACTTCTTTCCAGTTCCTTACTACTAAAAGATGAATACCTGAATTATGTTTTTCGTTCCTTCATTGTTCTTCCATATACTTAACTGTATAAGGATCTCCACCCTCCCATCCATCCCTTTTCATTTTATCCAAAAAACATTTGTTGGTATCTGTCCCAATTTTCCAAAATCTTGGGATACGATTCATTTAATTAATTATATTGTAAAAAAATTATATTGTACAATTAAATTCTTCCAGATGTTAGATTATAATATTGATTGCCTCTGGAAAGAGCTCTTTTATCCAAACCTTTCTCCTAGTAAACTCGCAGCCATTGACATTTGATGTCTTGGATGATCTTACAACGATCCCAGCCTTAATGCCCAAAAGCCCTAAATAAAATTGTACACTGCTCAAGTGTTCTATAGCATTGCACAAGTCTAAAATAGGTAACTGGCACCCACCCCACATCTCATTGTTGGCTAACTGACTTGTCCCATAAATAGCTCAGTGTTACACGATCAGACAACTACAACTGACAGAAGGGATTTTTGTTTCCTAATACACATGTGTAGTTTCTGGTACTCAACAAAATCAGGATCTGATTCACTGGACCCTAAATGTAACACAGTTAAGAGAATGGTGCAAATCAATAGCCAAATCATTTTGGGTGGGTTTCAGGTTAGCCTGCCTTCCACCAAATTCTACATTATGGATCATAGTATTACAGCAAGATTCAGTTTTACTACCTCTGTGTACATAAAGTAATGTTGCTGCCACAATTGGATTGATTGCAGAGAATTTCTGCCAAGTGAATTAAAAATTCTCAGGTTAATCTGAGAAGACATTATGGTAGTTTTTCTACCAAGTTTTCTACCAAAACTTTTTCTAGAATCAAGAGTGTATTTTAAAAACCTACCTACTATTGGAATATAATGGTTCTTGTTTCTAACTCTTAGCTGGAATGTATTGTTTTTATGTCAGAGAGATTTTTTTTTTTAAGATTTTATTTATTTATTCATGAGAGACACACAGAGAGAAGCAGAGACACACAGGCAGAAGGAGAAGCAGGCTCCCTGCAGGGAGCCCGACCTGGGACTCGATCCCAGGTCTCCAGGATCAGGCCCTGGGCTGAAGGCGGCGCAGTGCTAAACCGCTGAGCCAGCCACCCGGGCTGCCCTTAAATACGGTAATTTAACAGAAGATTGCTTCATAAATTTCTTAGCAGTAACTCAGAAGGTGAAAGTTGGGGCATTTTTCCACATAAATCTATATACCCTTTGTGTGTAAAGCATTGCTGCGTAGGTAACTGGTAATAGTACATAGGTTCAATTCATGTTTCAGATATTTTCATTTATCTTCTACTGGGTCTTTTTCAAAATGGCGGTACGTTTATTGCATTTCTTAAAAGGCAAAAGACCAAATCTAAAACAAATGATTTTTTTTAAAATTCCAATGCTAATTATCTTACTGTTGAAATGCTGCTTATTTTTACTTCAAGTTTGGAACAAAAATAAAGAATATGTGTGTGATATCAAAGCTATAGGCAGTTCTTCCCCTAACTGGCTTTGTACTTTTACTTGTAGAATTTCAGTATGTTTTACAGTCAGAGCTTTATGAAGCTATATATCAAGTTATATACCTTTCCATGGCTATACTGAATGTGTACATTTTGAAACTTTTTTTTTTAAGATTTTATTTATTTGGGACGCCTGGGTGGCTCAATGGTTGAGCGTCTGCCTTCGGCTCAGGGAGTGATCCCAGGGTCCTGGGATCAAGTCCTACACCAGGCTACCCACTGGGAGCCTGCTTTTCCCTCTGCCTCTGTCTCTGCCTCTCTGTATGTGTCTTTCATGAATATATAAATAAAATCCTTTAAAAAAAGATTTTATTTATTTGACAGAGAGAGATGGGCATGCAAGCCATCACATAAGCTGGGGGAGGGGCAATGGGAAAGGCAGGTGGGGAGAGAGAAGCAGACTCCTGGCTGAGCAGTTAGGCCGATGCAGGGCTCCATCCCAGGAGCACGAGATCATGACCTGAGCTGAAAGCAGTTGCTTAACGGACTGAGCCACCCAAACGCCCCCATTTTGAAACAGTTTAAAGCTAGAATTCAATTAAAGAATACTGATCTTTATTCTACCAACCAGGGCTTAAAAATATTTATCTCTAGGTTTTTATACTGTGAATATTTATTCTAATGTATTAAAGGGGGAAGAAGGAAAAAACCCACCCAAACCACTGATCGTTTGTTTAATAGATTGTAAACCATGGCTGTGTGGATACAAGCCCAGCAGCTCCAAGGCGATGCCCTTCATCAGATGCAAGCATTATATGGTCAGCATTTCCCCATTGAGGTGCGACATTATTTATCCCAGTGGATTGAAAGCCAAGCTTGGTAAGTGAACAAAGTTTTTTTTCTATCATATTTAGTGAAGCACAAGTATATTAAAGTTTGATTGGAAAGATAACATGATGGAGACTTTAAAAGTTGTACATTTTTGGGCAGCCTGGGTGGCTCAGCAGTTTGGCACCGCCTTCAGCCTAGGGCATAATCCTGGAGACCTGGGATCGAGTTCCGCATCAGGCTTCCTGCATGGAGCCTGTTTCTCCCTCTGCCTAAGTCTCTGCCTCTCTCTCTCTCTCTCTCCCTCCCTCTCTCTCTCTCTCTCATAAATAAAATCTTTAAAAAAAAGTTGTACATTTTTTTAAATGATGTGACCCATGAAAATGTATTTAGCCCTAGCTTAGATTTTAGGGGGCTGGAATAACTCTCGGAATTTTTAAAATAGGATTTTTTTTCCTATTTTATTTTTTTTCCTATTTTATTTTATTTTTTTAAAGATTTTATTTATTTATTTATTTATTTATTTATTTTTTGTTTTTTTAAGATTTTATTTATTTATGAGAGAGAGAGAGAGAGAGAGAGAGAGAGAGAGAGAATGGCACAGGCACAGGCAGAGGGAGAAGTAGGCTCCATGCAGGGAGCCTGATGTGGGACTCCATCCCAGGACTCCAGGACCATGCAGGCGCTAAACCGCTGAGCCACCCAGGGATCCCCTCCTATTTTATTTTAATAGTAAATTCTGGCTAAAAGCATTAGAGCATTGCTGCTAATAAACAACAGTTAACAAATATTTTTTGAGTTCCTATAAGGTGTAGAATTCATATGAACAGAGTAAAGCCCTTGTCCACAAAGAATGTAGTGCTTAATGGGGCAGCTAAGGTATGCATATGCTTATCATTTAATAAAATGTATTATTAACAAAGTTAACAATGGAGACATTGGTGTTTTTAAATTTATATATAACATAAAGACCAAAAGACAAAACACGAAAACATTAACAATAATTACGTTCTTGGTGGCAGATTTAACAAGCATGTTTTTACTTTTCTTATTTCCCAAATTAGTGTTTATATACTCAGAGAGAAAATTGTTTTTAAATTCTTTCAGAGTTCGTATAATGCAGTAGATTGACAACAGCTTTTATTTTTTTTTCCTTTAAAGATTTTATTTATTCATGAGAGTCACAGAGAGAGAGAAAGAGAGAGGAGAGGCAGAGAGAGAAGCAGGCTCCATGCAGGGAACTTGACGTGGGACTCGATCCCAAGTCTCCAGGATCACGCCCTGAGCTGAACGTGGCGCTAAACCGCTGAGCCACCTGGGCTGCCCTGACAATAGCTTTTAAATGGACGTTACTGCATACCAGGGAGCAGGCCATCACTGCTCTGTTCAGGGCCTGGGAGCATGTTGGATGCCTGTCCATCTGATCTGACAGGCTCATCAGCTGCTTCAGGCCTCTGTGAGGGTGGTGGGGTGGCAAGGCTGGTTGAGTGACTGGGGCAGCCTCCACCCCAGCAGAACCCAGCAGAAGTGGCCACTCTGCGACTGTCTGAGGAGGGCTATGTACCTTGTCAGTAATGCTGACTTGCAATAATTGCAGTTGTATGTTAGTAGCAGACTTCTGGTCGGAAGGTAGAGAGCACCAAAGGAAGACAATTTTCTGGGCAGTTTAAAAAATCTCAGCCTCGTGTAATGAAGTGAGAAAAAACCAAGCTAAACATAAGCACGTCAGGTGTACTTTGCTTAGCACTTCTCTATTTCTTTTTCATTTTCTTTTCCGTTTAAATAATTTGGAGTTCAGAAAAACATTAGAAGTTTCTGGTGATTTAAAATTTCATTTAGTAGATTTCCCTGTGTAGTTTCTTACCGAACAAATGTTAAAAGACTTGTGTTGATATCAAGGAAAACCTGAATTTTATTTAGTTTTGGTTTTCTTAAGAACATAAAGATTTTTTTTTAAGATTTTATTTTCTTGTGAGAAACACAAGAGAGAGAGGCACAGGCACAGGCAGAGAGAGAAGCAGGCTCCCTGCAGGGAGCACCATTTGGGACTTGATCCCAAGACTCTGGGATCACGTCCTGAGCCCAAGACAGACGCTCAACCACTCTGCCACCCAGGAGTCCCAAGAACATAAAGATTTTAATTTTTAAAAATGTCCAGTTCTTCATGTTTAAGCTAAGAAAAGCTTTTTTTTTTTTTTCTTTTAGAGTAGAGAATTAAGTTTTCAAATACCAGAGCCAGTACTTGATTTCCTGAGTTTTGCACGGAGACTGGAACTTCTCAAGAGTGGGTTCCTCAGATGAGGAGCATTATTGCCAGTCAAAACAGAGATGCAGGGCTGCCCTTCATTCCTCCCAGGCTTTTTTTTTTTTTTTTAATAAATTAATTTTTATTGGTGTTCAATTTACCAACATACAGAATAACACCCAGTGCTCATCCCATCAAGTGTCCCCCTCAGTGCCCGTCACCCATTCACCCCCACCCCCCGACCTCCTCCCCCTCCACCACCCCTAGTTCATTTCCCAGAGTTAGAAGTCTTTATGTTCTGTCTCCCTTTCTGATATTTCCCACACATTTCTTCTCCCTTCCCTTATATTCCCTTTCACTATTATTCATATTCCCCAAATGAATGAGAACATACACTGTCCTTCTCCGATTGACTTACTTCATTCAGCATAATACCCTCCAGTTCCATCCACGTTGAAGCAAATGGGGGTATTTGTCGTTTCTAATGGCTGAGTAATATTCCATTGTATACATAAACCACATCTTCTTTATCCATTCATCTTTCGATGGGCACCGAGGCTCCTTCCACAGTTTGGCTATTGTGGACATGGCTGCTAGAAAAGGCTTTTGTTTAACACATACTTTATTTAGTAGAGAGAGGCTACATATTTAAAATTTGCCTTTCTCTGCTCCCTTCTCAGCAGATATGGGCATATTATTTGCTGAACTACATTATCAGTGTTTTGGCACACCTCTTTGTACCTTTGTTTGAAATTAGTTGCTAACTGACTTCAGGGATGGAGAGGTACAGCCTTTTAGCTACCGCTAGATCTCTTGTTTGGCTTCAGACCCGGTCAGCAGTAAGTGAATGTTATTTCAATCTGACAGCTGTTTGGTTTCTGCAGTAAAGCAACTTAATACTACTCAATAGCAATTGTTGCCTAAAGTGTTTGAAAACAGAAAAAGAGTTGGAGAGGGGAATGGGGGAAGGAATAAAGAAGAGAAGGAAGGGAAGGAGAGAGGGAAACCATTCAATCCTTGTGACCAGTTCAATGGCTCTGAATTAATACAAAGTCCATAGAGTGGTTTCTCTGTGTCACTAGAAGAGTTAGCATTGCCCACAGGTCCCAGATCTGCAACCATTGACTTGTGTAAATACTTTTAGGCACCTTCTGTCTTAATATCTCATTTCCAGGTTCCTTAGAAATAGCAGTAAGTGTTGTTCCACCTGTTTTTAAGAAATATTCTGTGAGGGCAGTCCCAGTGGCTTAGCAGTCTAGCGCCGCCTTCAGCCCGTGATCCTGGAGATTCAGGATCAAGTCCCACGTCAGGCTCCCTGCATGGAGCCTGCTTCTCCCTCTGCCTGTGTCTCTGCCTCTCTCTCCTTCTGTGTCTTTCATGAATTAATAAATAAAACCTTAAAAAAATATTCTGTGAAATTAGCAACACAGAGAATTAGTCAAGGCTAGAAAAAGCATGTAGAGCATTCTTGACCTCGTGCCCCTTTACCCCCTTGAGGGGTAACTATAAATAGGAAGTTATCAGTGCCCTTATTTCCTTCAGAGTACACGAAGCACTTTCCTTTTCCCCTCATTTCTAGAAGAGATAGCATATGCACCAGAGCAAGTCAGTAGGAGGAAGGAGAATGGGTAGTACATTGTAAAAAAAGAAAGAGAAAGAGAAAGAAAAAAGAGAAAGAAAAGATACAGCTAAGCTAATTAGAGGATTAGTGATAGATTAACGTAGGCATCTAGTTGATTTGAAGTGGACCGTTTCCTAAAACTTGCAGTGAGTGTTATGAAGAAATCACTTCAGCTCAAGAAAAGGTGTGATGCGTTGAGGCTGCATTTATACAGGCTCATGTGCATGTATGTATACATATGTATGTAATTTTTTTCCCCTAGGGACTCAATAGATCTTGATAATCCACAGGAGAACATTAAAGCCACCCAGCTCCTGGAGGGTCTGGTGCAGGAGCTGCAGAAGAAGGCAGAGCACCAAGTCGGGGAAGATGGGTTCTTATTGAAGATCAAGCTGGGGCACTATGCCTCGCAGCTCCAGGTGGGTGTTAAAACTGGTCACACTAACTCTCTCCCCTAGGAGGGACTCTTCCTTCATTTAGTACTTCCCATAGAGATTTTCTTTCTCCAACCCAGTGTTGACTTACATGTTAGATGTATAAAGTTCTTACTGTATAACTTTGTCATTGTACCCTTTTCTTTTTTAAAAATTTAAAAAGATTTTTATTTATTTATTTGACAGAGCACAAACAGGGGGAGGGGCAGGCAGAGGCAGAGGGAGAAGCAGGGTCCCTGCTGAGCAGGGAGCCTGACATGGGGCTCCATCCCAGAACTCTGGGATCAAGACCTGAGCCGAACGCAGATGCTTAAGTGACTGAGCCACCCAGGCACCCCTATTTTTAAACTTTTTATTTGAAAATTATTTCAAATTTATAGAAAGTTGGAGGATTGATACAAAGAACCCCTACCTATGCCCAGATCTACCCATTGTTAACATTTGCTGTATCATATTCTGTTTCTACACACATAACATTTTTTGTCACTTGAGAGTAACTTGTGTATATCATGTCCCTTTGCCCCTAAGTATTTCAGTGTGCATTTTCTTTTTCTTTTTTTTTAAGATTTTATTTATTTGAAAGAGAGAGTGAGTGAAAGAGAGAGAACATAAGCTAGGGGGAGACACAGAGGGAGAGAAAGAAGCAGGCTTCCCAATGAGCAGGGAGCCTGATTTGGGGCTCAATCCCGGGATCCTGGGATCATGACCTGAGCCCAAGGCAAATAAATGTCTAATTGACTGAGCCACCCAGGTGCCCCCAGTGTGCATTTTCTATACATAGTTATAGCACAGTTATCAACTTCAAGTACATGTGACACTAATAAAACATTCTTAGGTGATCTTATATTTCCATTTTGTCAACTGACTTAATAATTGCCCTTTAGGGCATTTTTTCCCTCCAGCTCAGGATCACATATTGCATCTGGTTGTCATGTCTGTTTAATCTGGAACTGTTTCAGCCTTTGTCTTTCATTACATTGACTTAAAAAAAAAAAAAAGAAAAAGAAAAAAGATTTTATTTTTAAGTAAGCGCTACGCCCAGTGTGGGGCTTGAACTCACAACCCCGACATCAAGAGTTACAAGCTCCACCAACTGAGTCAGCCAGGCGCCCCTAAATTGACATTTTAAAATAATTCAGCTCATCTATTTTTAAAGGTAAAGTGGACCTCCTTTTAGGTTTGTGTGATGTTGCTACCTTAATTAGATTCAAGTTACACGTTCCTGATCAAAATTCTAAGTAAGAGATGTGTGTCCTTCTCAGGATATCACATCTGGAGACATACACCATCCATGTTTCCTGCATCAGTGGTAGTAATTTTGATTACTCAGTCGAGATGGTGTCCACTTTCACCTCTGATGTCTTTTTTAAGTTATATATACTTTTTCTAGGAATGATGCCCTAGTACTTTAGGCAAATTAAGAGGCAAGAAATAAAATAATCTTACTTTCTCATTGTAATTGGCTTTCCTATGATGTACTTTTCTTGTCTCTCATTTTTTGGAGGAGCAGCATTGCTTATGATTATGCCACATGTTTCCAGAAGTCTCCTCCATCATAAAATCTTAACCCTGCTCTTAGGTAGGTTTAGGCCCCATTACATGTTATGGACCAAAATGATGTCTGCTATTGGATTCTTTCAGAACACATATGACCGCTGCCCCATGGAGCTGGTCCGCTGCATCCGACATATTCTGTACAATGAACAGAGGCTGGTGCGAGAAGCCAACAATGTGAGTGTCCCATGGGTGTGGGGACAGGAACTGGGAAATCTTTCCTTGCCCACCTCTCTACAGATCCAGATTTTTAAAGATAACCCAGTGTGTATCTGTTGATGTCTCTATAAACAGAGCACTGTCCCAAGAGGCACAAAAGAAGTAGAGGACTGGTCTCTAATCTTTTTTTTTTCTTAAAGATTTTATTTATTTGAGAGAGAGAGAGGGAGGAAGAGAGGCAAGAGAGGGAAAAGCAGACTCCCCACAGAGCAAGGAGTCCAATGCAGTGCTCAGTCTCAGGACCCTGGGATCATGGCTTGAGCCGAAGGCAGACATTTAACCAACTGAGCCGTAGCCGTGTAGGCACCCTCTCAGATCTTAATTGTTCCATAACCTTGATGAGATTATCACCACGAAACAGTATGAATAGTGCAAAATAATTTAACCCCCAACAAATGGTTTTGGAGTAAAGGCATGTTCATATTTCTTTTTTTTTTAAAGATTTATTAATTTATTCATGAGAGACACACAGAGAGAGGCAGAGACATAGGCAAAGGAAGAAGCAGGCTCCATGCAGGAAGCCTGATGTGGGACTCGATCCCAGATCCCAGGATCACACCCTGAGCCAAAGGCAGATGCTCAACCACTGAGCCACCCAGGCGTCCCATATGCTCATATTTCTTAATCATACTTAAGAAAGGTTTCTGCTGAGCCCCCTCTCAGCTAAGTGTTGAGAGAATGACTGAGACCAGGTCACTTAAATGGCTAGATCCATAAAAGCCTTGTTGATGCCTCCCCTGTAACTTCATTTTGTGGTCTCCCTGATGCTGTCTATGAGAGGTTCAGCTACTTCCTTCAGTTACAAGAAGATCTTGAGTGAGGACACATATGATGTGTGTTCACACAACCTTGTTCTTCACTTGGGTCCCCAGCATCTCACATAGTCCAAGACATTGGATCAGTGAATGGATGTGGAATGAGGGGTCATCATCATTTGTAGGAAAACCCAGGTAACTCCTGGATGCGTTGAGTTCTAGTCTCTCTGGAACAAATTCAGTGGTATAGGTTTGGGTGACTCTGGTGGAGGCTGGACTGCGACAGAAATTTCCACTATGGTTTATGAAGATGTCACAATTGGCCATGTCACCTGTTTTCCCTCCTTTCTTCCTTCCTCAGCAGCAGTTCTCACAGATGATGTTTGCAGTTCCTTTGACTCAAAATTTCACTTTTGGGGAATTCAGCCAGATTATAGGTGCTAGCCTCAGCTTTTCCTTCAGATTAAGACCTGAGGTTTCTTCTATCCTCACTTCCCAGTTCACTGTGGCCTGCACTCCCCTCAATCTGTCTCCAGGGCACTTCTCCAGTTGGAAGTCTTGCTGATACCATGTCCCAGAAACACCTCCAGATCAACCAGACATTTGAGGAGTTGAGACTGGTCACACAGGACACAGAGAATGAACTGAAGAAGCTGCAGCAGACTCAAGAGTACTTCATCATCCAGTATCAGGAGAGCTTGAGGATCCAGGGTGAGGCCCGTGCAGCCTGGACAGTGTGTGTCATGAGGGCTAGAAGGAAATTCAGGTCAGGTTGGAAGAGAATCAGATTTCCATTCAGAGACACTTCCCTTTCTCTGGAGTGGCCGGAACCATTTGCACTAAGGGTTGGAGCAGGGAGGAGGAGGCTTAGGAAAGGGAGAGGACACAGGCTTGCCGTAGGGGAGTGTGGGTCTCACTCAGTCACACTCGGAGCTCCTGATCTACTGGAGAAAGCATTTCCTCCTGTGGGAAGAAGTTCCAAGTCTAGTAAAAAACATTTGTATATTATTGGTGTTTCATAAATGCTGCTTCACTAAAATGTTAAATTCTCTGATTAGGGAAGTAGAAGGGCTAAGAGTTGTGTTTGTAATGACATTCAGTGCTGTTTGTGCAGTGATTCAAAGAGGCTGTCCAGGCGCAGTGCATGATAATACATGCACCTTTCTTAGCTCTTATAAAGAAAGCTCCCCTTCCTGTGTAAATACTTTAGGTAATTGGGTACTGAAAACTTCAGTCTCAAGGCTGTGGAGCTCCACCAGTGCCCCCTGTTGACCTTGTAAGAATTTGACAGGATGACTTTAATTTATTTCCCTCTCCCTGCAGACATGCCCAGCTGAGAATCAGCAGGGCATCATAATCCCAGCATTTAGGATAGGGGTTACCAAAAAAAAAAAAAAAAAAAAAAAAGGATAGGGGTTACCTTTAGAGGCAAGGATGGGTTTGCAAGCAGGGAAGGATGTGTAGGTGTGATTTTACCGTGGAAATGTATGGTTTCTTAAGCTGGGTTATTGATACACAGGTGTTCCTTGCATCATTCCTTCTTCCTTCCCTGGGTCTTAAGTATTTCGTAATAGATTTTTGGTAAAAGGGTAAGGAGGCTTCCCTGACTCCCTATTGCTGCTGCCATGGGTGAGTCCCAACACTAGTTTGGAGAGAACCTGCCTCCCTCTCCTGAGAGAATCTTGCTGCTTCTGTGTGGCCAGTGGGCTCTGGACATTCTCTCTCGCCTTCTCTCTGGCCCTCTCCATGCCTCTCCATCTCCTTCTGGTTGTTCAGCTGAGTTCACAGTAACCCAACCTGGACAAACAAACAAACATGTTAGGCCCCTCCCAGCCCCTAGAGAAACACCTCTTCCCTAGGAAAGGCTGCTGTGCTCCAGGGGTGGAACCCAGGCCAGCAGGGCTGGGGCTTCCCTGAGGAGGCTCTGCCCTGTGACAGGGGTGGGACCAAGCCGCCACTGGGCTCTGTCACCCTTTAAACCTGCTCTGTAAGTCACTATAACCAGCCAGGACTAACTCACCTACATCATCCATGTTGTGCTGGGCAGTTCCTTGAGCCTTTTGTGCATCATCACTTCTGTAATCCTCAGCGACCCACTGAGGCAGGGGCCGAGATTCTCCCATTTTGCACAGGGACAGACAGAGGCACCGAAGAGTGAAATGATTTGCCCCAGTTCACCCAGTTAGTAGTAAATGGTGAGGGCACAGGGCGAACCAGGCAGCGAGGCTCCATGCTAGACCCCTGTGTGGCAGGCAGCTGTGTAGACTGAGGTGGGAGTGGAGGCCTCAAGGCAGGATCCTCCTCGCTGTGCCCTCAGGCTTCCTTCTGGCTGCACACTCCCTAAAGGGGAGATCAGAGTGGAGAGGCCAGGGACCAGAGTCAGGTCTGGCCCCCCTGGCCGCTAGGAGCCCAGGTTCCATTGGTCAGATGTCAGGCAGACCCTCGAGGGTATTTCCTCCAGAACAGGTGTGTGTGTTGCACGGGGCTTCCTGCAGGAAGCTGGGAGATGATGGTCATGGGTGTCCTGTCCCCTCCTGTAGCTCAGTTTTCCCAGCTGGCGCAGCTGAATCCCCAGGAGCGCCTGAGCCGGGAGACGGCCCTCCAGCAGAAGCAAGTGTCCCTGGAGGCCTGGCTGCAGCGTGAGGCCCAGACGCTGCAGCAGTACCGCGTGGTAAGTGGGATCTGCGTCCTCTCTCCTCTCCTCCCAAGCTTTGCAGTCCGCATCCTGAGCTACCCGTGAAACCTGAAGGAGGGCTAAGGCCAGGAAGAGAGCAGGACCCGAGAGAGCTGGAGGCCAGATCCTTCTTTCCTGTGGGGGGCACTTGAGGCAGAGCAGGTCTGGGAGAGGGGAAGGCCTGTGCCTCCCGAGTGAGGCCTGCAGGGTTGTTGTCTGGGAGCCCAGGAGGGCCTGCTGTCCCCAACCTCCCTTCAGGAGCTGGCCGAGAAGCACCAGAAGACCCTGCAGCTGCTGCGGAAGCAGCAGACCATCATCCTGGATGATGAACTGATCCAGTGGAAGCGGCGGCAGCAGCTGGCAGGGAACGGAGGGCCCCCCGAGGGCAGCCTGGACGTGCTACAGTCCTGGTAATGGGGGATGGCCCGGGACAGGAATGGTGCTACCAGCTGCTCATTCTGCCTCCTGCATTTCCTTGAGCAGCCAGCTCGCTCCGCCCCGTGGCAAGGCTTCGTTCACTAGGGGTTCTGGTTTCTGATAGCGACTTTGGGGCCTCCATCTTGTGCCACCTGCCCAGGAAGGGAGTCACTGTGCTAGGGAGGGGGCAGGAGGGCAGGGCTGGGTGTGCGGAGCAACACTCAGGTTGAGTGGACTCAGTTTGGAGTTGCTGCTCCCACATGGTTCTGTGTGTTCCTGAGAGGCAGGGCGCTCTGCTCTGCTCTGCTCTGTGAACAGGGGCGGGAGCTTAGGTGCAGAGCCTTCCCTGGTGAGGCTGGAGCTGGGACTTGGGGCCTGGAGCCCGGGCGATGGGGTGACTCTGTTGCCCTCCCGGTGGCCTGGGGCCCCCGTGCAGGTGTGAGAAGTTGGCCGAGATCATCTGGCAGAACCGGCAGCAGATCCGCAGAGCTGAGCACCTCTGCCAGCAGCTGCCCATCCCCGGCCCAGTGGAGGAGATGCTGGCCGAGGTCAATGCCACCATCACAGACATCATCTCAGCCCTGGTGACCAGGTGATTGCTGCCTCTGGCCATGCCCAGCCCCGGGTGGTTGCCTTGGGGGAGGCAGGTGCTTTGCCCCCTGGGGTTGGGGGGCAGCTCCTCTCTGAGTCCTTGTCTCTTGCCCGGGTCCCAAAACCCTCTGTCCTCAGTTGCAATGGCTGCTTGGTTTCTGTTGTGGGCGCTACGTGGACTCCCCCCACCCCCCGCCAGCCTGTGCCAGCTGCTGAGTCATTTCACATTTCACTGCCCCCCTCCCCCGGCCCACCATCTCCTCTGACTTCTCAGTGGCCTCTCTGGGAACAGGAGCTATGCCATGGGCTCTTCCTTTACCTGCCGAACCCCAGTAGCCTCCCCACAAGGGGAACTAGGCCCCGTCTCCTGAGCCAGCATCATGTCTAGTCTGGTCCCTTGTGTCCTTGCAGCACATTCATTATTGAGAAGCAGCCCCCTCAGGTCCTGAAGACCCAGACCAAGTTTGCAGCGACAGTGCGTCTGCTGGTGGGTGGGAAGCTGAACGTACACATGAACCCCCCCCAGGTGAAGGCCACCATCATCAGCGAGCAGCAGGCCAAGTCGCTGCTCAAGAACGAGAACACTCGCAAGTACGTGCACCCTCCCCTCACGTCTGCCTCTTTCCTCCAGTCCTTACAACAGAAGCAAAGTGCTCCCGCCTCCTGGCCAGAACTTTGGACACTGCCATTCATAGTAGGAGCTCCATTAGCCCTTCTGGCCTCCTCTAGCTCTCAGAGAAAGAATTTAAGGCCTTTCTTCTGTTGCAAAAACACATGATTTTCATTCCTTTAGTAGGAATACATCCAAGAAAATTTCTTTTATGTTAACATGTTATTTCTTAGTATTTTATGCTGCTAACATTTCCTCTAAATGACATCAGTTTTTACAACTTTCTTTATTGGATCCCCCCCCCCAAATATTTTCTACCCCATATTTACTGAGACACTGTGTGGGTTTAGAGTCGAGTCTTTCTCTGCAGTGACTACAGTGGAGAGATCCTGAACAACTGCTGTGTGATGGAGTATCATCAAGCCACGGGCACTCTCAGCGCGCACTTCAGAAACATGGTGAGGATGGGATAAGAAAAAGAACAAATTTTCCCTAGTGGTTGGAGGGCTCTAACCTTTTTGTCTCCTTTGCAGTCCCTGAAACGAATTAAGAGGTCTGATCGTCGTGGAGCAGAGTCAGTAACAGAAGAAAAATTTACAATCCTGTTTGAATCACAGTTCAGTGTTGGTGGAAATGAGCTGGTTTTTCAAGTCAAGGTAAATTAAAGCCTTCCTTCCTCTGAGTTGGTGTGTGTGTGTATGTATTTTGTATCACAAAATAATTGTTTCGATCACATAGCATCTTAACTGTCAGTGAGCAGAAAGTGGGGAATCCGCATCCTTGAAATTGCATCTCCTAGATTCCCTTGAAATCTATAATAATAGGGATGCCTAGGTGGCTCAGTGGTTGAGCATCTGCCTTCAGCTTGGGTTGTGATCCTGGGGTCCTGGAATCGAGTCCCAACATCGGGCTCCTTGCCTGCTTCTCCCTCTGCCTGTGTCTGCCCCTCTCTCTGTGTCTCTCAAGAATACATAAATAAAATCTTTAAAAAAAAAAAAAAGAAAGATCTACAATAACAAGCAATAGCAAATTGAAATAGCTGGAGATACAGGTAGGAATGAATCAAGAGAAACATCACTTTGGATGAATTTGAGTAACAGTTATAGTAAGTTTTAGACACTTGTTACTAGCTCTTTTTCCCTAAAAATGTCTCCATACATACTCATTTTCTTTTCTCCTGTTCTCCATTTGAGAAATTTCCTGCACCCTTCAGAAAAATCTAAGTAACATCTCTTTTAAATATCTAAAATTGGGCAGCCCTGGTGGCTCAGCTGTTTAGCGCCGCCTTCAGCCCAGGACATGATCCTAGAGACCCAGGATCGAGTCCTGCATCGGACTCCCTGCATGGAGCCTGCTTCTCCCTCTGCCTGTGTCTCTGCCCCTCTCTCTCTCTGTCTGTCATGAATAAATAAATAAAATCTTAAAAAAATAAAATAAAGTAAAATTTCTAATTCACCTGTGATTCCTTGAGCTATTCAGTTTCTGTATTCAGGGGTGACATTTACTGAAACTTGAGGAGAGAATGAATGTGTCATGATGAAAAGAAGAGCAAGAGAGGAAAGTGTCGCTCTTGGCACTCAGCCCTTCTGTTTTGTCTTTCTAGACCCTGTCCCTCCCGGTTGTGGTGATCGTCCATGGCAGCCAGGATAATAATGCAACAGCCACCGTTCTCTGGGACAATGCTTTTGCAGAGCCTGTGAGTGAATTCCCTGGGCCTGCGGGTGTCAAGATCTTGATGCTGGTGTCATTAATCTCTTTTGTGTGTTCTCCCCCAGAAAAGCATAGAAAAAAGTGTAGTTTTCTGTGGTAGAAGACAGAGTGGAGAATATGTGAAGAATGGAAAGAGTATGGCCTTGGAGTCATGCCAAGGCTTAAACTCACAACCCACCGTTTGCTCACATTGTGATCACAGGGAATTCACTTTCCCTCTTTGAGCCTAAAGTTTCCCTTAAGTTTCTGCACTACAGGGATAATAGTGCTCCATAGCACTGTTAGGAAGAAGAAATTAAGTAACATGCAGGGGCACCTGGTTGGCTCAGTCAGTGGAGCGTGCAAGTCTTGATCTCAGCATCGTAAGCTCAAGTCCCATGTTGGGCATAGAGTTTACTTAAAAAAAATAATAAATGAAATTAGGTAACATACAAAATCTGAAACGCTTGTCACATAGTCAATGTTTAGTGAATATTCTTTTGAATCCTTGTGTGAGACCATGAATGGAATTTGGGACTCCCAAGTTCCTTCTAGATGGTAGACCTCTCAGGACGCTACTTATAGTTTAGCAGTTACTTCTTGACATCTGGACAATAAACGAGGGTGCCATTTAATGTCTTTTCCAAATTTTAGGTTCTTGATTCATGCCAAGTCTCTCATGAAGAATGAGATACTAAGGGAATAAACATGATTTTGTGGATTTATTCATCAAATACTATCAGAATATCACTACTATGCACTTGAGCATTTTCAAAACATTTTCAGGAAGAGTTCTAAAAAAAAAAATGGAAGAGTTCAGGGGTTACACATTTCCAGGAGCAAGTAGTCCATTAAAGCATGATAAAAGGTTACAATTGGTATTCAGGATATAAAAGTATGTCCTTCTCTAACATGACTCTAACGTGAAGAGTCTCACTGAGTTCTCTCAACAGTCCTCTTTACAGAACAATATTTTTGCTGCAAAGGTGAGATTTTTAGCAGAAAATCTACCATAGCCACTCTATAGATCCCGAGTTTGAGGCTTCTCTTAAAACTATCTGCCTGCAGCATGTCCTGATAAGCCTCCTGGATAGAATTGCTGCCTTTCCTCTCATTCCCTTCCCTGTCTGTCCACTGAGCTCATTCCTCATGTAACTTTGGCAGCTCTTGCAACATGGTCTTGCTAAATAAATTGCCTAAATTTAGGCAATGCCTGAATAAATAAGCATTTTTAACATTTTAAGTTGTGTTAATGACAAGTGTACATTTTATGCTCCTTTAAAATAAATACATGCTTATGGGAATATATTCTACAGATATATTCCATCTGTGTCAAATGTATAACTGCACTGCAGAATTTTTTGTAATAGCTAAAGGTCACTAGGCTGATACCCAGGTGTCCACCTATGGGGGCCTGGCTAACTATAGTACTGTTCTTCCATTCTGTGACGTATTTAGCAGCCACAAAAGAACATGTGTTTATGTGCTGATATAAGGTCTTGTAGGTATAGTATTCAGTGAAAAAAGGGAGATGTAGAACATGTAGATTTTATGCTACCATTTATATATATGTGTGTGTGTGTACTTTTTTTTTTTTGGTATTTACTTATTTAGAGAGAACTGTGCGAGCAGGGGTAGGGGCAGAAGGAGGAGTAAAAAAGAGAGATTCTCAAGCAGACTCTCCACTGAGCATAGAGTTTGATGCAGGGCTTGATCTCACCACCCTGAGATCATGACTTAAGCTGAAATCAAGAGTTGGGCACCTAACCAAGAGAGCCACCCAGGCACACCCCCATTTATATTTTTAAAAAGGAAAAGTTACATATATTTCCTGGCATGCATAGAATATCTTTAGAGGCATACACACTAAACCAGATTACATACTGCTGGGACATATGGGGCTGCTGGGACACAAGGTTAAGAAAGTGACTTCACCAGGATGCCTGGGTGGCTCCGTGGTTGAGTGTCTGCCTTTCATTCAGGTTGTGATCCTGGGGTCCTGGGATCAAGTCCCACATCCGGCTCCCCACAGGGAACCTGCTTCTCCCTTTGCCTATGTCTCTGCCTTTTTCTCTGTGTGTGTCTCAGTCTCTCATGAATAGAAAGAAAGAAAGAGAGAGAGAGAAAGAAAAAGAAAAGAAAAGAGAGAGAAAAAGACATAAAGAGAAAAAGAAAAAGACTTCACCGTACACCCTTCCATGCCTTTTACATTTTATATCATGTATATTGCATTACTGAGTATTTACTCAAAAGACACAAATGTAGTGATCCAAAGGGACCTCTGCACCCCAGCGTTTATAGCAGCAATGTCCACAATAACCAAACTAGGGAACGAGCTGAGATGTCCATTAACAGATGAATGGATAAAAAAGATGTGGTATATATATAATGGACTACTACTCAGCCATCAAAAAGAAAGAGAAATCTTGCCATTTATAACAATGTGGATGGAACTAGAGGGTATTATGCAAAGTGAAATAGGTCAACCAGAAAGACAATTATTATATGCTCTCACTCATATGTGGAATTTAAGAAACAAAATGGAGGCCTGGGCAGCCCCAGTGGCTTAGCGGTTTAGCACCGCCTTCAGCCCGGGGCGTGATCCTGGAGACCTGGGATCGAATCCCAGGTCAGGCTCCCTCATGGACCCTGCTTCTCCCTCTGTCTGTGTGTGTGTGTCTCTCTCTCTGTCTCTCTCTCTGTGTCTCTCTGTCTCTCATGAATAAATAAATAAGATCTTTAAAATGAAAAACAAAATGGAGATCATAGGGGAAGAGAGGAAAAGGTAAAACAAGATGAAATCAGAGAGGGAGACAAACCATAAGAGACTCTTAATCATAGGAAACAAAATGAGAGTCGCTGGAGGGGAGTTGGGAATGGGGACATAGTAACTGGGTGTTGGGCATTAAGGAGGGCACATGATGTAATGAGCACTGGGTATTACATAAGACTGATGAGTCATTGACCTCTACCTCTGAAACTTGTAATACATTATGTTAATTGAATTTAAATAAAAGTTTTAAAAATAATAAATTTTATACCATGTGAAGCAATTGCCTTGTCCAAAAAAATTATAATAATGAAAAAATGAAGTATTGTGACTGAATGAAATGAAAAGCAGTTTATTAAAAATTCAAATTGTAACCTGTTTCTCGATAACAAGTGGTCCAACTCATAGTTTCCATTCTTCCACATGAAATTTTTTCATGTTGAGCTGGAATTCAAGGATCACACTTGTGCACACACATGCATGAGTGCACACACAATTCTCTCTGCCTGCACCTAGAAAACTTAGTCTTTCAGATTTCTGTTCTCCTGAGCTTACAGTGTAAGAGGCAGACCTTGGTCACATTTTGTTTTTGTGGCTCTTAGAATTAGGATGAGACTGTGCATTTAGCAGCTCTTTTACAGAACACCATAGATAGCTTGAGGGTACTTTTTAAACTATATGTGAGGAAGGGAAAATGGAAACTTCTGAATTTCACAGAGCCACATATGTCAAAAAAAAAAAGCTAGAACTTATCCTCAGGCTTTAGCAAGACAAATGTTTGTAACTGCATTGAGCCATCAATGTTTTTGTTTTGTGGGTTGAGTGAATAAATCACACAACTGTTTTCTCATAAGATTCTGGCCTCTCTCCCTCTCAGGGCAGAGTGCCATTTGCCGTGCCTGACAAAGTGCTGTGGCCACAGCTGTGTGAGGCGCTCAACATGAAATTCAAGGCTGAAGTGCAGAGTAACCGGGGCCTGACCAAGGAGAACCTCGTGTTCCTGGCACAGAAACTGTTCAACAGCAGCAGCAGCCACCTTGAAGACTATAACGGCATGTCGGTGTCCTGGTCCCAGTTCAACAGGGTAAGGGACCCACCGCCAGCTGCCATTAGATCAATCCCTCCAAACTAGATGCCTTCTGGAGTCTTCCTGCCCTGGCCACTTGTTCTTCATGACTCTAATGAAATGTGCCCAAAGCAATAGGAAGTTCCTAAATAGATGGATAAGCACATACTTTTTTTATGTAGAAAATTAGATCTTTGAATAAGTAAGCTGGGTTGTATGTAAGGTTAGTGCATTTTTTTTTCCTTTATAAAGGAAACAGAGCAAAGCAAATGACATATCTCACAAGAAGTAAAGCTTTTGTGATCAGAAGTCTATAGTTCTTTCCCATTGACTCTCTGATGCTCCCTGCTGTGTAATCCTGTAAAGCCAGGTTAACCATGGGACCCTCAGCCCACAAAAGGAAATACTGATGGTGGAAACTTCTCCTCTGGCATTGAGTAATTGAGATGTGAACTGTCACATCTTTGACTTCAAAGCCAACTTTTGTTTCTTTGCTTACAGCCCCATCCCCAGGTGTTTTAAAAGCCCTAATTCAAAAACAGCAAAGGGGATTCCTGGGTGGCTCAGTGGTTGAGCATCTGCCTTCAGCTCAGGGCGTGATCCCAGAGTCCTGGGATTGAGTCCCACATTGGATTCCCTACATGAAGTCTGCTTTTCCTCCCTCTTCCTACGTCTCTGCCTTTCTCTCTGTGTCTCTCGTGAATAAATAAATAAAATCTTAAAAAAAAAAAAAAACAGCAAAGGAAGAGCGCAGATCTGAGTGAAAGTGTTTGTAGCAGAGGGCCACTGGGTATTGGTAATCGCTTTGCTGTATTTTCTCCCTCTTTTCTTTTCCTCTGTATTCGTGGTGGTTTGTTTTTGTTTTACTGTAGGACCATTTGGTAAAATTCAGGCAGGCACGTATAATTGTATGATTCTGACAGTGTGGATGTTTGTTTTCCATTTAATTTTTTTCAATTTAAGTACATGCAGGCAATATTCGAGGTGTTACTTGGCCTTCTTGTGTTCACTGTCGTATCTCCAATCAGGAGAATTTACCAGGACGAAATTACACGTTCTGGCAGTGGTTCGATGGTGTGATGGAAGTGTTAAAAAAGCATCTCAAGCCTCATTGGAATGATGGGTGAGAATCGGCATTTCCTAAGTCAACAATAGAGTATGAAGCTCTTCTTTCTGCTGCTAAAACATCACATCTGCTTCTCCTCCTTTGGCCTTTGTGATCTAGGGCTATTTTGGGTTTCGTGAACAAGCAACAGGCCCATGACCTACTCATTAACAAGCCTGATGGGACTTTCCTGCTGAGATTCAGCGACTCTGAAATTGGCGGCATCACCATTGCTTGGAAGTTTGATTCTCGTGAGTTGTTCCCTTTTTTAAACCTATCATGGCTCTAGTTAGCTGCTTTTTTTGCGAAATTACTTAAACAAATGACTTATTGAGCACTAATTATGGGGTCAGTTCTGATGAAGGGCACACAAATGGATCACCATGAATGAGGCAGCTGGATTGTGAGCTTATTTCAGTGAATTACTTGGATAAGTTAGAGTCCTTAGAGTGGAAGTAATAGGCTATTTTAATTATTCCTTTATCCTAATCAACATAAAGGCATGGCCACTGATTATTTCCACCCAAGAACAGTTCTTTCCTCTGATCCTCATAGTAAGATAACAGTAGCTCATTAGTTTTTCTGCAGCTTAAAAATATATTAAATTTTTCACAGCTTCATGCATTATCTGGCTATGGACATGCTTTCTGTCTCATATACTTCTGTACAGAGATCAAGGATTGGGGTCAATCAGAACTATTTCTTCTACAGAGGAACTAAAAGCCATTTGAACTTGAAGCTACCTGATATCATTGGATCTCTAAGGAAGTGCTGTATGCATTACCGGCTTATCTCCCCATGGCTTTTATAAATCACTTGAGCTACAACCTGTGGTTATTGGTTTTATTTTTTTTAAGATTTATTCACTTATATTAGAGAGAGAGAAAAAAAAAGAGGAGGGAGAGAGGGAGAGAGAACCCCAAGCAGACTCCCCACTGACCTTGGAGCCCATCACTGAGGCTCACTACCACAACCCTGAGCTTATAACCTGAGCTGAAATCAAGAGTCAGAAATTTGACTGAGCCACCCAGGTACCCTACCACTTGTGGTTATTTTTAAATGGAGCTCTTTATGGGGGACAGTAATAACTCATAACACAGAGCTTTGGTTTGTAGCATATTTGGGTTTTAAGATATCCTGTTCAGAAATCATGCTTAGAATATGATTGTTCTGTTTATTGTTCTAGAGGAAAGAATGTTTTGGAACCTGATGCCTTTTACCACCAGAGACTTCTCCATCCGGTCCCTGGCTGACCGCTTGGGAGACCTGAATTATCTTATCTATGTGTTTCCTGATCGGCCAAAAGACGAAGTGTACTCCAAATATTACACACCAGTCCCATGCGAGCCTGCCACTGGTAACAATGTTCGCATTCTGATTTGATTTTGTTGTGATTTTAGTTTTCTTTTAGTTTTTTTTTTTTTTGTGTGTGTGTGTGTGTGTGTGTGTGTCTGCCTGTCTTGCATGAAAACCTACATAATTAGTATTTAGTTATTGGTATTCAAGCATTATTCAGGGCAATTGTAAATCCTGGACTATATTTTTCAGTCATATAGATAATATTTGTTGCTAAGCTTTTTTTTTTTTAAAGATTTTATTTATTTGTTCATGAGAATACACAGAGAGGAGAGAGAGAGAGAGGCAGAGACACAGGCAGAGGGAGAAGCAGCCTCCATGCAGGGAGCCCGATGCGGGACTTGATCCCAGGTCTCCAGGATCATGCCCTGGGCTGAAGGCAGCGCCAAACTGCTGAGCCACCTGGGCTGCCCTGTTGCTAAGCTTAAATCAAACAAAATTAGAAAGATAAAAATTGTTTTTCAAAACAGAGATGGTTTTATTGTTTTCTAAGCATAAAGGTATTCTGTGTTAATTGTAAAATTTCCAGAAAAGTATGGCAAAGAAAACAGATACGACATAACATCTCTCACCTAGAGATTAACCACTGTAAAAAATTTAGTGAATATTGTTCCCATCAAGGTAGACGTGTATTCTGCATTACATCAGTCACCAGATGCCTGTTAGGTACTTCCTGTGTAGAGATGACAATCTAGTAGAGGAAGGAGGGCAACAAACAAATATATTTATTTAGTGATGGATGCTATGAAGACAAGAAAGCTTGGTAAAGGGTTAGATGTGGGACAGGGAGAAGGATGGGGGGTGACATTTCACTAGATAAGCGGTGGTCAGGCAAGGTCTCCCCGAGGAGGTGCTGTCAGCACAGAGCTGAATGAAGTGAGCAAGCTAGCCACACAAAGATCTTGACAAAAAAACTTCTCGGTTGAAAGAAGTACAAAAACCCTGATGTGGGAGTGAGGTTGGTGTGTTTGAAAAACTCCATGAGGACCCAGGAGATAGAGCTAATGAGCCAGAAAGAAGAGTGTAGGAGGTGAGGCCAGAGCAATAGAGGGGCCAGACTGTGTCAGGCTTGGAGTCCAGTAAATGTTTTGGGTCACACCATATATCATCTTTTGTGGTCTGATTTTTTTTCTCCCACTTAAAAATATACCATAGGCAGAGTTAGCAGGTCTGTAAATATAATCGTACAACATTGCTTTAATGATTGCATAGGATTCACTATATAGTGATTCAATGTCAGTTATTTTGAAAGATTTACAATTTAAGTTATTGACAGTTTTCTGTCATGAATTAATATCGAGATAACCTAGGGTACCTGACTGGCTCATTCATTAGAGCATATGACTCTTGATCTCAAGATCAAGAGTTCAAGCCCCATGTTGGGGGTAGAGCTTACTTAAAAAATATATAAATAAATAAATATACTGAGATAACCTGGTGCATACATCTTAGTCAACTATTTCCCTAGGATAGACTCCTAAAGTAGAATTCATGTCGAAGAGTATATATACTTTTTTTTTTTTTAGATTTTATTATTTGAGAGAAAGAGAGCATAAGTTGGGGGGCAGAGGGAGAAGGAGAAGCAGATACCCACAGAGCCCCACACAGGCTCAATCCCACAACCCTGAGACTATGACCTGAGCTGAAATCAAGAGTTGGACACTTAACTGACTCAGCCACCCAGGCGCCCCTAGATTTATGTGGTAATTTGGATTAAACCTATCATGGTTTCTTGATAGCACAGCTAATCTAGATTTTTAAATCCTATTTTTTACAGCATTTCTTTGGTTTTTATCTTTTTCTGCCAATCCATAAAATTCTTTTTTTTTTTTCATAAAATTCTTTATAAACTGTGAAGCACAAAAAGCATGCAGTATTATAAAAAAGTAGTTCCTGACATTTGAAGCCTTAGAAGAAGCTGGTTAGGATAAGAAGCAACTTGTAAACTGTGTAGCATTTCACTGTCTTGGACTTGGTTACCAATATAGGTTGTAAATCCTCCCTCTGAACATCATTGTAGGGTCTATCAATCAAGCACTTTTAACATTTCGTAGTTTAGCACTGCCTTCAGCCCAGGCGTGATCCTGGAGACCCAGGATTGAGTCCCATGTGGGGCTCCCTGCATGGGGGCCTGCTTCTGCTTCTGCTGGTGTCTCTGCCTCTCTCTCTCTGTGTGTCTCATGAATAAATAAATAAGATCTTTAAAAAAAAAATTTCCTAATTGCCAAAGGGTATGGAATACATAATTAGATGTTAACTTCCCTGAAATCATTGCCTTCCACATTCACCACAGGGATACAAGCCTACTTGTGATGGGAAAGACCACTACAATTTAATGGTCATCTAAAAGTAGAGTTTCTGTTGGACAGAAGAATTATTTTTTAAAAAAATATTTTATTAATTCATGAGAGACACACAGAGAGAGAGGCGGAGACACAGGGAGAGGGAGAAGCAGGCTCCACGCAGGGAGCCCGATGTGGGACTCGATCCCGGGTCTCAAGGATCACACCCAGGGCCGAAGGCAGACGCTAAACCGCTGAGCCACCCAGGCATCCCTGGACAAAAGAATTAGAGGAAAGTTTATACTCTCTGATGCACACACAGAAAAGCCCTAACAAAACTTATTATAGTATAATGTAATTAATTTTGTGAGTATAAAATTAAAGCACTTGTATTTATGAGCATTTTCCTTCTTTTTAAGATTTATTTATTTACTTGAGAGAGAGCGAAAGAGAGAAAGCACAAACAGGGGGAGCAGCAAAGGAAAGGAGAAGCAGGCTCCCCATCAAGCAGGGAGCCCGATCCCAGCACCCCGGGATCATGACCCAGACCTAAGGCAGATGCCCAGCTGACTGAGCCACCCAGGTGCCCCTTAAAGCACTTATATTAGAGTTAGTTACTTGAAGATTGAACATTGAATCAAATTCTCAGGATTTTACAGGGTTTTTTTTCCTATTGTTCAAAATAGAAAATAAAGTTCTCAATCATTAAAAAAAAAAAAAAAAAAAAACCTCTTTATCCTCTTGACCATACTCACATAGACAAGCAACAGTGATTCCAGAGACCATCCAGTCAAATTCATTCCTCTCTTTGTTTTCTTGGTGCAACAAGTGTTTGTACCCCTCCCACTTGAAGGTCTCCAGTGATCAGGAAATCAGTTCTTCCCGAGACAGCCCGTTAATTTTGTGGGCAGTTCTAATTATGACAGCATTCTTCTTTCTGTAGTTGAAAATTTGTCCTCTTCTTATCTCCTTCTAATTTTATTCCCTGGGATACAAAGCAAATCCTGTCACTCTGCTGCATCTGTAACTTTAAGCTTTTGAGATATTTTTTTCTTTTTATACTTAATGTACAATTAATGCTTGGTTTAGATTTGTACTGAAGTATATATTTTCTGTGGCTTGAAGAATTTATTAACACACTCAAGCCAACTCGGAAGGTAACTTAACTTGCAGTTTTAGTATTGAGGCTTCCCCTAGACCAGGTCCAACTAACATTAAAATATTAAGTGCTTGTATCAGATCCTAAGATAGAATTAGGTGGTTGTGTCCTATCCTGAAAACTGTGATTTTTAAGAGAGATTGCATTTTTATTTCACTGAGAACTTCGGTTCTCATCACTGTCGCCCCCTCTTGGCAGCTAAAGCAGTAGACGGATACGTGAAGCCACAGATCAAGCAGGTGGTCCCTGAGTAAGTACCCAGGGTCCAGCTCTGGCCTCCCACTGCCTCTCTCTTCCCCTCAGCACCCCTCAGCCCTCACCACTGCCCCTCCCGCTCACAGGCCCTGCGTGGCCCAGCCCTCCCTTCCCCCTGAAACCTGGCTCAGTTTCCCCCTGGAGAGGGAACTGGGCTTAGTGTCAATGGGACCAGTACCCAGGGCCCCAGGCCCACTTCTGGAGTCCCAGGCACAGTGGGCACTTTGTCCTTCCACACCCCCTGAGCCCTCCCCAGGTCAGCTGCTTCCGTGAGGCCGCTGAGGCTCTGCCTCGTTTCTCCTGCAGGTTTGTGAGCGCGTCTACAGATTCTGCTGGGGCCAGCGCCACCTACATGGACCAGGCCCCCTCCCCGGCTGTGTGCCCCCAGGCTCATTATAACATGTACCCACAGAAGTAGGTTGTGTTCTCACGGGGCTTCTCGGGGAGGACCTGGGCGCCTGGCCTCAGGCTGGGCCCCCAGAGGGCTGGTGGGCAAAGGGACCCAGAGCTCCTGTAGGTCTAAGACCACCCAGGCTGGGCTCTGGCATATACCCAGGTAGGAGAAAGATTCAACCAGAAGATATTGAGAGTTTAGAGTGGATTTGGGCAAATGTCATCTCCCCTTTCCCAAAGTGGAGATTTTTCTTGCTCTGTATAAGGACCAGATGGGCTTTAGATATGTGGACAGCCAGGGTAAGGGGGAGCTGGGGTGGGTATGCTAGTTTGAGTCTCTATCCAGATAGAGGATTCTTTTTTTTTTTTTTTTAAGATTTTATCTATTCATTCATGAGAGACACAGAGAGAGAGAGAGAGAGGCAGAGAGACAAGCAGGCTCCATGCAGGGAACCCGATGTGGGACTCGATCCTGGGACCCCAGGATCACACGCCCTGGACCAAAGGCAGGCGCTAAACCACTGAGCCACCCAGGGATCCCCTAGCAAGAGAGGATTCTACTCTCCACTGTTTAAATCATGAGTATCTTTTCCCATGAAGCCTAGGCTAAGGGTGTAGGCAGCCTTGGGCCGTTCACTTGGTAGGGTTTGGGGCTTCAGTTGGTCTCTGCTACTTATTATTAGGTCTGACAACCTTTCCCTTCCCTTCATTTTTTCTTTTTCTTCCAAGCCCTGACCCTGTCCTTGACAACGATGGGGAGTTTGATCTGGACGACACGATGGATGTGGCACGGCGTGTGGAGGAGCTCTTAGGCCGACCTATGGACAGTCAGTGGATCCCTCACGCACAGTCGTGACCCCGCATCTCCACCTGCAGCTTTTCTGTCCTCGCCAGAGGAGTTACTCTTGTGGATGTTTTAATTCCATGAATCGCGTCTCTTTGGAAACAATACTCATAATGTGAAGTGTTAATACTAGTTGTGACTTTAGTGTTTCTGTGCATGGTGGCACCAGTGAAGGGAGTGTGTGCGAATGTGTGAGTGTATGTGCGCGTGCGTGCGTGAGTTTGCACGTTGGGCTGTTTCTCCCCCTTGCTGTGCAGAGTGTAGTTGCAGCATTGGGGCCACAAACAGAGGCTGTGGTTGTTTTAACCTTGTGCAAAAAGGCAATAGTTCTGTGAACCCTGGAACTTAGCCATGTGTCTGTTGGAGTAAGAGAAGGACAAAGGGAGGAGAAAGCACCTCTTCTCCGGTGAGATTTGTCACTGTGTCTGCCAAGCAATTGATATATAACCATGATTGTCTCTGCTTTCCTTTGAAATGTAGAAACTGCCTTTTGAAAAAGAAAGCCTCCCGCCCGTCTTTCCCTGTCCCCCACCCCTGTTTTCCTGAGTAGGGATGGGCAAAGGGGAAACACACCATGATTGTTGGGACAAGGGAAGTCATGGGTTGTCTGATGGGTAGTGGCTTTTTAAATAATGCTTATAGCCCATCTACATGTTCTCTCCCTTGCCCTCCTTCCTTCCCCTCTGTGAAATTGCCACTCAGTCCTGTGTTTGTATACACGCACAGACACATTTGATGAACCAGGGGAAAGAGGGTCACATAACCGCAGCTTACAGTGTTGATGTCCTTTGTGTCGTGGCCAGAGTGGAAGGAAAGTCGGCTTGCTACCCAGAGCAGCTGCCCCCCGCCATCCCCGGTCTGCCCGTCCTTCCACCCAAGTGCAGCTACCCCAAGGCTTATTGATAATGGCTGTTTGCACATGGTGGTGTTATGTTTCTAAATTGGGACTTCTTGTTTTCCTCTTCCCACCCTCATCTGACATCACAGTTCTTTTGACCTGTGGCGGGTTCTGTGGCATTCGTACCCAGGTCACCTCGTTTCCCTTCACTGTTCACACAGGCTGTCTTGGGGAGGGGGTGGTAGGAATGCAGCCTGAACCTGGGGCCGGTGTGTTCTGCGCTGTTGCCCACTTGGTACGGGCTGCTGGGTGTCGCGCGTTGGTAATTTGGGAAATGCAGTCAGTGGATTTCCTAGGAAGTTTGGTAAGCTGCAAAAACAAAACAGCTTCAGTACAACGTTGTACACAGTTTCTTCCGTAGTTTTACATCAAATGGAAGGAATGGGCTATGGCAGTCAGGTGGGAAGAGGGGAAAGCAGATGTAGCTTTTGGGGTAGGCCTACAAGGTCACTCACCCCTGGCCCCCCTCTCCAAAAGAAGGAATGGCCCTAAAAACCTTATTTTTATACATGTGAGTAAATAAACATATTTTTTTTACAAAAATGACTTCTGAATTTATCAGTGTTTTGATGTTAAAGGAAAATATTCCTCTGTAGTAAATTATTTATTGGAAGATGACTTTTTAAAAGCTGCTGTTTGTCCTGGCTTGGTTTCATACACTGATTTATTTTTCTATGCCAGGCAGTAGAAGCTCTGTGCCTCTGAGGAGCAGGCCGACCCCTCCATGACACCAGCATTGACACATGATGCGGCTAAGCCCTTTACACACCCAAGATTTAATTAAAATTCCAACCGTGAGGCTGAGAGTGTTGGGGAAAAGGGGAAAGGAAGCCTGACTGCTCTGGGACCCAGTCTTAAAGAGCCCTTACCTGCCTGTCACTCAGGCTTCACCGACACTCACCTCTGAAGCCCGGAGTTCCAGCAGCCCTGCCGCCCGGCCGCATGGGGCAGGGACTGACTCGCTTCCAGACTGGTAGCACACCCAGCCCCAGGGAGTGCTGTTGGCACTGGGGGTGCTGGGACTAGCAAGTGTGGCTGCCCGGAGCACAGGTGTTCCGTGCTGGTACAGTTGCTGAGCTGTCCTCAGCTTTCCTTAGGCTGTGCCTATAGATGGGAGAGATCTTTGACCGAAAGGTGTGCTCACTATCTGCATTGTATTTTCTCTTTTCTCCCTGCTCCTGCAAACCACAAAAGAGGCAGTGACAAGTCTTGACCACCTCTGCCTCTCACTTGCTCACACACACACACACACACACACACACGTCATCAAAACATTTCAATGTGTGGTATGTGCAGGGTTTTGTAGGGGGTTGGGGAGACTAAAAGTGAATATAACTTAAAGTGGAAGTATACTTTTTATAATTTTTCTTTTTAAAACTTTGTGAAATTATTTCAGATACATATTTTAGTGTTGAGGCAGATTAGTCTATAGCCACCAAAAAAGTATTGTGTATAATTTGGGGCAGTCACAAAATTGTGTATTTTATGTTACAATAAAGGCTTCCTCTGAAGGGACAATATTGAGTTCTGTTTTTATTTTTTTCCCATCAGGAGGTGAGAGAGAGGGTAGCTTTGATAGGGAAATACTTGAAATCATCAGTGGAACTGTGAAAAGCAGGACTAGTTGGGAACTGGCCTCAAAGAGTGTCTTCAGCTTTGAAGGCAGAGGGGGCATTTCTGACCTTCCTATTCATAAGATGGTTTAAAAATCAGAATGATTGTATCTCCTAGCCACCTGATAAACACTCTTCCTGTTAGAAAGCTCATCCTTAAACTTCACATTTGAAGTGCCCACCCTATGCTGGGTATGGTGTGTGGGAGGAGAAATCGTCCTGTCCTCAAGAGGATTATAGCTGGGGAAAGCCAGCAATACAACCAATCATGATAGGATATTGGCTCCTGCTGTAAAAAAGTTATCCTGAGGCCAACACTAAATACAAGAGAATAGGGAGGAAGGGCACCAATTAGTTTGAGCTGACTCCTAAAGAACAAAGAGTTGAGAAAGGAGAGGTATTCCTCCAGAGAGACCAGTCCAGGCAGAGGCTGGAGATGACGGAGGGTGTGATATGGCTGGATAAAGTGATTTGTGGTTCTAAACCCAGGCATGCATCAGAATCTTTTGGGAGACTGGTTTAGAGCGCAGATGGGGCCAGCCCGGGTGGCTCAGTGGTTTAGCGCCTGCCTTCAGCCCAGGGCTTCGAGTCCCATGTTGGGCTCCCTGCATGGAGCCTGCTTCTCCCTCTGCCTGTCTCTCTCTCTCTCTCTCTCTCTCTCTCTCTCTCTCTCTCTCTATCTCTATCTCTATCTCTGTCTCATGAATAAAAATCTTTAAAAGAAAAAAGAAAAATATATAGCAATCAGCTAACGATAAGTGTAACTTAGCTGGGTGTGGTTAGGGAAAGAGATCTGTGAAAATAACTGTCATGTGAGGGCAACTGTGGGCATACTCAAGTCTGTACCCACTTATTGAGCAATATCAAGCTTCACGCCATATGAGGGTGGGTGGTGGGAAGTAGAAAGACTCCCTAATATGATCCAGCCACTTACTAAACATGTAAATAATAATAACAAACCCTGGAAAATTCACAAATATACAGTAAACAGTATACTCCTAAATAGCCAAGTGAAAAAGAATAAATTTAAGTAGTCACACTTCACAATAAGTCAAAACACTACAAAGCAACAGTAATCAACATAGTGTAATACTGGCATGAGGATAGACATATGGATCAGTGGAATAGAAATCAGAGTGCAGAAGGAAACCCATGTGTCTATGGTCAACTGATTTTTTTTTTTAACTGATTTTAACAAGGGTGCCAAGACCATGCAATGGGGAAAGAATAGTCTTTTAAACAAGTGGTACTGAGACAACTGGATAGCCACATGCCAAAAAGTAAATTTGGAACTTTACATCACATACAAAAATTAACTCAAACTGGATCAAAGACCTAAATGTAAGAGCTAAAACTATAAAACTCTTAGAGGAAACCATAGAGGGATCCCTGGGTGGCACAGCGGTTTGGCACCTGCCTTTGGCCCAGGGCACGATCCTGGAGACCTGGGATCAAGTCCCGGTGCATGGAGCCTGCTTCTCCCTCTGCCTATGTCTCTGCCTCTCTCTCTCTCTCTCTCTCTCTCTCTCTCTCTCTCTCTCTCTCTCTGTGTGTGTGTGTGTGTGTGTGACTATCATAAATAAATAAAAATTAAAAAAAAAAAAGGAAACCATAGAAAGCTTCATGACATTGGATTTGGCAATGATTTCTTGGCCATGACACCATGACCAACATAAGGTAAGTTGGACCTCATCAAAATAAAAACTTTTGTGCATCAAAAGACAGCAGAGTGAATAGGCAACCCACAGATGGGGAGAAAATATGTGAAAATCATATGTCAGATAAGGAATAATATCCAGAACATGAACTCTACAGCAACAATAATTTTTAAACAGGATGTGAACAGATACTTCTCTAAAGATACACAGGTAGACAATAAGTACACAAGAGAGGCTCAATCATTAGAAATCATTAGAAATGTATATCCAACCACAATGAGATACCATTTCTTACTCATTAGATTGGCCATTATCAAAGCAAAACAACAACAAAAAATAACTGGTAGGGTACGTGGAGAAATTGGAACCCATATGCATTGCAAGTAGGCATGTAAACTAGCGCAGCGACTACTAACTACCATGGAGAAGATAGCATGGAGATTCCTCAAAAAGTTAATTCCCATGTGATCCAGCACTTCCACTTCTGGGTATATACTCAAAAGAATTGAAAGCAGGGATCCAAACAGATATTTGTACACCCATGTTCATTAGCAACATTATTCACAATAGCCAAAAGATGAAAACAACAGAAATGTCCATCAGTGGATGAATGGGTAAACTAACTGTGGTCTAGACAATGGATAGACCACAAATACAATGGAATGTCAATCAGTTTTTAAAAAGAAGGAAACTCTGACACATGCTACAACATGTGTTGTAAGCAAATAAGCTTACAACATAAGCAAATCTTGACATTATGCTGAATGAATTAGGCAGACACTAAAGGACAAATATTGTACCGTTGCCTTTATACCAGCTACCGGGAATAGATTCATAAAGACAAGATAGAATCATGGTCATCGGAGAATGCGGGGAGGAAGAATGAAGAGTTACTGTTTAATGAGTAGAGTTTCAATTTAGGAAGCTGAAAAAGTTCTGGAGATGGATGGTGGTGATGGCTGCACAAAATGTAATGCCACTGAAGTGGATACCTGATATGGTTAAAATGGTAAATCTTATGCATCTTTTATCACCATAAAAAATAAAGACCTAAATGTAAGAGCTAGGATTATAAAACAATTAGAAGAAAGCATAGTATTCTTCATGACTTCAGATTTTGACAATGGACCCCTAGATATGACACCAAAAGCACAAGCAACAAAAGAAAAAGTAGATAATTGGACTTCCTCAAAATTAAAAAAAAATTAAGATTATTTGTTTATTCATGAGAGACACGGAGAGAGAGGCAGAAACACAGGCAGAGGGAGAAGCAGGCTCCATGCAGGAAACCCAATGTGGGACTCTATCCCGGGATCCCAGGACCACACGCTGGGCTGAAGGCGGCACTAACACCGCTGAGCCACCCAGGCTGCCCAAAATTTAAAATTTTGTACTTCAAAGGACACTATCAAGAAAATGAAAAGAAAGGGGATCCCTGGGTGGCTCAGCGGTTTGGCGCCTGCCTTCAGCCCAGGGTGTGATCCTGGAGTCCCGGGATTGAGTCCCGCGTTGGGCTCCCTGCATGGAGCCTGCTTCTCCCTCTGCCTCTCTCTCTCTCTCTGTGTGTGTGTGTGTCTCTCATGAATAAATAAATAAAATGTAAAAAAAAAATGAAAAGACAACTCACAGAATGGAAGAAAATATTTGCAAATCATCTATCTGACAGGGGACTTGAATGTACAATATGTATAAAGAACCCTTACAACTTAATAATAAAAAGACAAATAGCCCAATAAGAAAAGGGTAAAGGATCTTAAAAGACATTTCGTCATAGAAGTCAACAAATGGCTAATTGATACACGAAAAGATATGTGATCATTGGTCATCTGGGACCATGCAAATTAAAATGGACTCTGGGGAAAAAAATAAAAATAAAAATAAAATGGACTCTGGGGTACCTGGCTGGTTCGGTTGGTAAAGCATGTGACTCTTGATCTCAGGATCTGAGTTCAAGCGCCACTTTGAGTGTGGAATGTACTTACACACAAACTCAAGTCACTTCACACCCCACTAGGTTGGCTATAATCAAAAAGTCAGATAATAATAAGTGTCAACAAGGACCTAGAGAAATTGGAACCCTCATATACTCCTGGTGGGGTATAAAATAGTGCACCAGCTATGGAAACCAGTTTAGCAGTTCTTTCATCAGTTAAAGAGTTAGTATAGGACCCATCTATTCTATTCATTGGAATGTGATAAATCACTTGCATTCATTACATTTTTATGCAAAAAAAAAACAATTATATATGTCCACAGAAGGACTTGCATGCAAATGTCCATAACAGCATTATACATAGTAGCCAAAGAACAGAGATGACCCAAATGCCCATCACCTGATGAATGGGTAAATAAACGTGATGTGGCATATCCATACAATGAAATAAATATTATTTGGCAATAAAAAGGAATGAACTACAGCTACACAGTAATACATGGAAGAACCTTGAAAACATGCTAAGTGAAAGAAGCCAGATACAAAAGACCACGTGTTACATGATTCCATTTATATGAAATGTCCAGAATCGGCAAATCTATTTTTAGAGAAAGTAGATTTGTGGTTGCTTTTGCTGGGGATCAGAAGGTGGGAAGGGACTGGGGTGATAGCTAAAGGGTATAGAGTTACTTTCAAGGTGATGAAAATGTCATGAAATTGCTGATGTTACACAGACCTGTGAACATAGTAGAAACCAAAGTGGGTGACTTGTATGGTATGTAAATTGTACCTAATAAACTATTAGTTTTTTAAGATTATTTATTTGTTTGAGAGAGAGAGAGCAGAGCAAGAGTGAGAGAGCACAAGTGGGGGGTGCACAGTGGGAAAAGTAGGCTCTCCACCAAGCAGGGAGCCCAGGGAGGGGCTAGGATCCTCAGGCCCTGGGATCATGACCCTCAGGCTCTGGGATCATGACCCAAGCTGAGCCAAAGCCAGACACTTAACCCTCTGAGCCACCCAGGCGGCCCGCTCTCACTCCTTTTAATTTCTTGTTTAGCTCTTACACTTGATTTTTTTTTTTAATTATAGCTTTCAGGGCACCTGCTTCTCCCTCTCCCTCTGCTGCTCCCCCTGCTTGTGCCGTCTCTCTCTCCTTCTCTCGCTCTAATGAATGAATAAAATCTTTAAAAAAAAATCAATAAAAATGAGGTGCCTAGATGGCTCAGTGGTTGAGTGTCTGCCTTTGGCTCAGGTCATGATTCCAGGGTCCTGGGATCGAGTCCCACAGCAGGCTCCTGCAGGGAGCCTGCTTCTCCCTCTGCCTATGTCTCTGCCTCTCTCTGTGTTCTCTCATGAATAAATAAATAAAATCTTAAAAAAATAAAATAATATAAAAATAAAAGGGGTGAGATCAAGGTGGGGTAGCCTGACAGCGAGAGCAGAAATGTGCAAGGGAGCTCAGCTGTGAAAAGGAGGGAGACCCCTGTAAGATGGATGAAGGGTTGACGGGAGGGGTTTCAGTGTTTGAGATCCTGGGTCCAGAGTACAGGAGCAAGGATGGCTTAACCACAGACAGCAGAAGAACCTCATTCTAGAGCAGAGGTTATCAAACTTCACAGTGGGAGGGTAGGAGCCTAACTGAGGTGGGCACCTTGCTCCAAGCTGCAAAAAGACCTCATGTCATAAAGATGAGAGAAGTTTGTTTTTCCTGGGCATAAAGCCTACTAGCTAACACCGATGGTGACCCCAGTTAACAGGTAAAGTTGGGATGAGCTACAGGTGACAAATGGTGCCACGAAGTCCTCTTCTTTGAGGGCTAGTTATCGCTTGTCTGGATGCCATGCGGGTGACGGGTTCTGGCAGCTTGGCTAAGTGAGGGAGGGAGATTCTCTTCTCCCTGTGCAATCTCTGTCATTGCCTGTGATGAGCATCCCATTCAGGTTTATGCTTATTCAATAATAAAAGGGCTTCCTGGGACGCCTGGGTGGCTCAGTGGTTGAGCATCTGCCTTCAGCCCAGGGCATGATCCTGGAGTCCCGGGATCGAGTCCCACATCAGGCTCCCTGCATGGAGCCTGCTTCTCCCTCTGCCTCTCTCTCTCTCTCTCTCATGAATAAATAAATAAAATCTTTAAAAATAATAATAATGATAAAAGGGCTTCCTTTCTCTACTACCTTTGTCAGGGAAAGCTAGTGGATCTTTGGGGAGAGGGTTTCTGGACTGGGAGACAATTTTGTTTTTTTAAACAGCTCTCAAGCTTGAACCTGCTCTTCCGGGGTGCTGCGCCCTTCTCCCAACTCAGGCTGCTTCGTGGAGCTCTTTTTCCTTTTCCACACTCAGCCTTCTCCTCCTTCACCTGCAGAGTTTGAAGGCCACACTGCTTTGGCGGGAGCCCTCCTCCCACAGGCGGGCCTGGGCGGCTCCGCGCACGTGCGGCCTCAGGCCGCCTGCCCCTTTAAGAGCCCCTCCCCCGGCCAGCTCCGCCCTCAGGCCCGCGGCCGGATTTCCCCGTCGGGGCCCCACCCTTTAAAGCCCTGGCTCCATCTTTCTGGCTGGCTGTGTGCGCAAACCGGAGGGCCCAGGGGACCCTGGGAGCTGGGAGTGGGCACAAGTGGGCTGTGACAGGTGCATATGGGCCACGGAACCACCGCCCGGGCCTCAGGAGGGACCCGGAGCTGGGACAGGGTGGATCCTGGGATGCAGCAGAGCCCCTCGGGTGGGCAGGACTTGTCATTGGTTGAGCAGCTGCTGGGTGCCAGGCACCGCGTCAAACCATTTCTGTATCTTCTGCGGAGCTATTATTATTCCCATTTTACAGACAGGGCAGCGGAGCCCAGAGCAGCTAGCTGCCTTGCCCAGGGCCCTGCAGCTAACCAAGTGGCAGAGCCAGGGTCCGAACTCAGGTCAGTGTGACTCCGAAGCCTTGATGTCCCCTCCTCTGCATCACCTGCCTGATGGGGCCTGACTTCTTCTCAGCCTTCCTTTTTCCTTGGTTTCTTGTGTGGTAGAGTGCGGTGAAGGTTGGGTTGGGTTGTGGGGAGAAAGGGGTTACCCTCTCCTCCCCCCAGTACCAGAGTTTGGGTCCCTTCCTCCTCCCAGGAGCTGCTTGGAGATGCTGCTGCTACTGCTGCTGCTCCTCCTCCTCCTCCTGGGGCTGCTGCTACCACTGGCCTCGCTCCGGCAGCGGCAGCTCCAGGGTGCCAGGCCGTCCTGGCTTGCTGGCCTCCAGCACCGTGTGGCAGGAGCGGCCCTGCACTGGGCAGCCGCCTGGCAGCAGCGCAGACTGGAGCAGAGCACCCTGCATGCGGGCCAGAGCCAGCAGCACGCCCTGAGGTGGTGTCTGCAGGGAGCCCAGAGGCCCCCCTGTCCCCTCACGGGGGCCACAGGTGTGTTTCCAAAGGTCTAAGGAGGTGGCCCAAACAGAAGTGCCACCAGACAGTCAGATTCTGGAACCTGAGGACTTCCCTTCTCCCCTTCTACTGCCAGCACAGAGGGGCCTGATCCAAACACCCTACCCAGGCTCAGGATTATTCAAAATGAATTCTCCATTCCTGTGCCCCAGTAGCCTTGCCCCGGGCCTCTGCTGGGCTCCTTCCTCACGGGTCTTTTTTTCTTTAAGACTTTATGTATTTATTCATGAGAGATACACATAGAAAAGCAGAGGCATAGGCAGAGGGAGACATAGGCAGAGGCTTCCCGGGGACCCTGTTGTGGGACTTGATCCCAGGACCCCAGGATCATGACCTGAGCCAAAGGCAGGCGCTCAACCATTGAGCCACCCAGGTGCCCCAGGTCTTATCATTCTTACCTGAAACTCAGGAAACTGTGGCTTCAGGATGAGTTTATGATGTCTTTGGGGCTACAGATACAAGCGCCTTCCGGAACCATCTCCCTCTGACCAAGGCCAGCCAGGCCCAGGAGGAAGAAAGGCGGGGTCAGGAGCTGCCCCCTACCTCAACCCAGTACTACGGGGAGGTCTCCCTGCAGGTAAACTGAGAAGGCTGGAGCATAGCTGCACCAGAGGCCCCATCAGGCCAAACCTTCCCCTATCAGGGTAGACAAAGAACCCCTTACAGCCAAACCTTCCCCCATCAGGGTAGACAAAGAACTCCTAACCTGGGGACTTGGGGACTGGCTCGGGCCCAGGACCAACACCCTTTCTTGTCTCCTTCCAGGCCACCTTGCTGGGTCTGGCAGCCCTAAACAAGGCCTACCCAGAAGTGCTGGCTCCAGGGGGCACTGCCCGGGTGACCCCTACATCCCCCTGGCCTCACCCTCTCCCCTGGCCTTGGCATGCCCTGGGCCAGGTTAGTACCCCTGGAGCCAAGCACCCTGGGACCCTGCTGCAAGAGGCACTGAGGTCCCCAGGGCTGAGGGCCCTGGAAGCTGGGACAGCAGTTGAACTCCTGGACGTCTTTTTGGGCCTGGAGGCCGATGGTGAAGAGCTGGCTGAGGCAGTGGCTGCCGGGAACCCAGGGCGGGCGGCTGAGCTGCGGGAGGCCCTAGAGCAGGGGCCCCGAGGACTGGCCCTCCGGCTCTGGCCAAAGCTACAGGTGGTGGTGACGCTGGATGCAGGAGGCCAGGCCGAGGCTGTGGCTGCCCTGGGGGCCTTGTGGTGTCAAGGGCTGGCCTTCTTCTCACCTGCTTATACCACCACTGGAGGTGAGCAGGACTCAGGGCTAGTGAGTTGGGGGCATGGGGCAGATGCCACACAGCGAGCTGCCAAGTAGTGAGCCCTACGTAATCACTTCATTTAATCCCCCCAACACCAGCAGCTCCATTTTACACATGCACAGACTGAGGCTCGTAGAGGTTAAGAGATTTGCACACATTCACGCAGCACCAGCATTTACCCCCAGGTCTGCCCCCCCGCCCCCCCCCCCGGAACCACTGCCTCTTCCCAACCAGGGTCCTTGAGGCAGCACCCTGAGCCTGCGGGAGCCAGGAAGGAGAGAAGGGCAGCCATGGGATCAGTTGCTCAGAGACTTGGGGCCTGGGGTCCCTAGCAAAAAAGCAATGGTACCACCAGCTAAAGGGCTGCTTGCTCCCCCCAGGGATGGTGGGCCTGAGCCTGTGGCCAGAACAACCTCGAGGGCTCTACCTTCTGCCCCCTGGAGCTCCTTTTATTGAGCTGCTCCCAGTTAAGGAAGGAGCCCAGGAAGAGGCTGCCTCTACTGTCCTGCTGGCCGAAGCCCAGAAGGGTGAGGAGTACGAGCTGGTGCTGACCAACCACACCAGTCTCACCAGGTGAACACCTGGCTTACCTCTAGGCCACCTCAGGCCCTCCGGGACCCTACCAAGGGCCTAAGCTCACCAGCACTCCTGCCCCGTCAGGTGCCGCCTGGGTGATGTGGTACAGGTGGTGGGTGCCCACAATCAGTGTCCAGTCGTCAGGTTCGTCCGCAGGTAGGTGACTCCCTGGGGGAGCTGAGGGGCTGTCCTAGGGCCCCAGGTTCCTCTGGCTCCCCCTTCCTCCTCCCTAGGCTGGGCCAGGGCCTGAATGTGCGAGGAGAAGACATTCAAGAGGATACATTCTCTGAGGCCCTGGGCAGGGCGGTAGGGCAGTGGCCAGGGGCCAAACTGTTAGACCACAGCTGTGTGGAGAGCAGCATTCTGGGTAAGCTTCTCCATCAGCTCCTGCTCCCCATTCCTGAGTTGGTTGCCCACCCCACCCCTGCCCATACCAAATCCATCCTGAAGGAAGAACTCTACGAAAGAGGTAAGACCCAGCCTCCTTTGCTGCTCCTAGCAAAGCCCTTCCCCACATCTGACTCCCATCCCTCCTGCTGCAGCCCCACCCCTTCCCTTTCCTGGCCTGTTTCATACTTACAATTAGGCTTTGGGTTCCTCTCCATTTACCCCCCGCCCCTTGGCCAAGAAATTCCTTTCCTCCCATAAACCTCAGGGTGAGGGAGAACAGTAGGGGCACAGGACTCGGTGTTGGAAACCAAGAGTATGTGTATGCATGGGGGTTTGTCTCCAGATTCCTCCGAAGGCTCTGCTCCCCACTATGAGGTGTTTGTGGCGCTAAGGGGGCTGAGGAACCTGTCAGAAGAAAATCGAGAGAAGGTAAACAAGACAGGGATGGGATGTGACTGCCTGTCCTCTTCACTCTGCATGCCCCCTCCTGCCCCCGTGCCATGGGCCCAGTGCTGCGATGGCGGGGAGAGTAGGGGGAGGAGAACCTCCCTGGGGCTCTGGGAAGGGAGAGAGGTCCACAGACACAGGAGACACAGGTGAACATATGAAACGCCTCCCACACATCTCCTGGCATCGTCAGGCGCCCGCCATCCACAGGTCACACAGCCACACACCAGCCTCCTCACTCGGGCCATTCTGTTTCCAGCTTGACCACTGCCTTCAGGAAGTCTCTCCTCGCTACAAGTCCCTGCGGTTCCGGGGCAGCGTGGGCCCTGCCAGAGTTCACCTGCTGGGGCAGGGGGCCTTCAGAGAACTCCGGGCCACCCTTGCAGCCTGCCCCTCGTCCCCCTTCCCTCCCGAGATGCCCCGGGTCCTCAGGCAGAGGCATCTGGCCCAGTGTCTGCAGAGAAGGGTGGTATCCTGAGCTGAGGCCTACCTGCTGCCCCATCCCCCTCAAAGGCCACCTGGCTCTTTCCTCTGTGGCCTTTCTGGATGGGAACCCTTGGCCAGGGTCGTGGACTCTGTGTCACCTGACAGTGGCCCATCAGAGCTGCCAGGCCTTAGGGAGGCTCGGCCTAGTCAGCTGCTGCCTGCAGAGCCCTGCTTGGAGCCCCAGGCCCCCTCTGGAGGACACTGCTGGAGTTCCCCGCCACGCTGATGCTCCCGCGTCTCCAGCCAGTGCACTGTGCAAGCTCCAACTGTTGGCAGTTACTGCTCCCAGGAGCCACCCTCGGCCTATAAGAAACAGGACTTAGAGAAAAAGACCTTGGCGTCATTGTCCCTCAGGGCGACAGCTCTGAAGTGTATTCTGTGCCAGTTGTCCACAGTGATAACCTTCTCAATAACACAGTTCTTACTGGTTTTCCTGCCATCCCTCCTATTCCCACCCCCTTCTGTGGTTTCTAGGATTACCTCCCAAATAAACCTCTTGCACCAGATTCTTGACTCCGGGTCTGCTTAGGGAGGAACTGTAAGAGGCCTGTTTGCTCTGCTCCTGCTGGCGGCTGGTTCCCCCCACCTTCAGCTCTGGACACCAGGGCTTTCCCCCCACTCTCCACTCCAGGTCGGTAGGTCCCCAGTGTGTGTGCACCTTCTTTCTACCCCAAGCTGATCCTAAATGTGGAGGGATTGCTCCCCAACTTCCCTTGCCCTGGCTTAGCACAGGTCCCTGTCTGGCCCAACACCCACAAACCACTTTCCTGTGTAGGAACTGTACTACACATCATGAAGTATCACAACAGGAAGCAATCTCAGAGACCATCTGGGTTAACTATCCATCTTATCAGTGGGGAAACTGAGGCTTCATGAGGTTGTCAGCCTCACCCAAGGCCTTGAAGCTCCTCCTGAGTAACATGGCACCAGTTCCCCTTCAGTTGCTAAGTCTCCAATCCTGCCTCTGAATTACTTCTGAATTCCATGTCCACATCCAGGCCACCCAGCCCCCCATCAGCCCCAGGACTCCTTCCTGCTAGAACCCTCCCCTGGCTCCCCAGCGCCCACAGGACTGAGGCCAATCAGCTTAGCCTGTAAGACCCTTTGACCCACCCTGGTCCTCACTTCCTTGTCCAGCCACCTCTCCCCTATGAGGGGAGCCGCAACTATGATGCCCACACCCTACTATCCCACATGAACTAAGCACTGTCACCTCCAGGTCTTTGCTCAAGTTGTGCCTTCTGTGGAATGCACCCCTCCCCAGCCTTACCTGATAGAAATCTACCTTGCATGCAAGGCCTTTCTGGGGTCCTTTCTCCTACTGAGCTATCATCATGCTGGGTTGTCTTCTCACCTGGATTCTGGAGTCTGGGAAAACCGGACCATCCAATGCACACTGTGCCCCCAGCACCCGTTGCAGGGCCTGGCAGAGAGCAGGTGCTCCACAGACTTGCCCTGTATAAAACAGACTCTGGCTTGGAGATGGCACGGTCCTTCCCCCAAAGGGGCTCACTCTTTGCTGATGGTGGGATGGGACTCCATCCCCCTCTCCAGGCAGCCTGACTAGGAAGGAAACTGCACAGGTCGGAGGACCTGCTTTCCTCTCCCTGCCCACGTTCAATTTCCAGGATTTTCCACCGTGGAGGTTGGTGGGAGGGGCAGAGAGGAGGAGAGAACTGGGGAAAGGGAGAGGCAACTAAGAAGCCTGTTCCAAGAAGGAAGAAGGCCAAGGAACCCGACAGACCCCAGGTACGGCAACAGAGACAGAGGGCACAGACCTGATGCCTGGCTGCCCTCCCCCCACCACACACCCCATGTGAAGTGTGGGGCTCATAGCTGCCTTCTCTTCTGCCCTAATTAGCAGCTGCCCCCCCCACCATTGTCCCAGGCCAGCGCCCCAGCCAAGGCCTCCTTTGTGCTCCCAGATTCCTGGGTGCAAGGTGGCCTCATTAGTGCCGGGAGACCGCCCCATCTCCAGGGAGCAGGCAGACAGTCAAGGGGGGTACCAGGGGCGCAGTGATGGCACTCCCGCTCCTGAGAGCCTTGGCGGCCATTCTTTGGGCCCAACCTGGAGACGGTCCCCCTGCAGGAGGCTAATCTTAGATTTGCCTTTGTCTGGCCCCAGAGAGGACGCAAGTACCCGCCTGTCCCCTGCCACCTCAGAGGACTATAAACCCCAGGCCCTTGATTGGGGGTCACAGTCAACGGCCTCAAAGTTCCTGGCTATTCCGACCACTGCAGACAACACCCTTCCTGGCTACCCCACTCTGAGCTCCAGACGCCATGAACCCTCCCTCTACAAAGGTAAAACCCCAGGGATAGAAGGGGTGACTCATCCTACCAGCGAGGCAATGGAAATGCTTGCTCAAGGGGCTGGAAAGAAAGCTGAGGTGTCTCTGCGCTTGGTCTTTTCCCATGTGGGATCCGAGGCAGGAGACTGATGGGGTGAAGCCTCCGCGGAGAGCCTGGGGTAGCACTGGATCCATGGCCTTCTCCTGAGAGCTCATGCATCAGGCGCGGTGCTTGCACCTGGTCTTTTGTGTCCTCCTCCTGCGGCCTGCGCTATAGGGATTAATACCCCTTTACAAGGGAGGAAGTTGTGGCCCCTAAGAGGTTTGGAAACAAGCCCGAAGCCACAGAGTGCAGTTTCCCCGGCAAGGGAGCAGGCAAACAAGACAATTTGGAACCTGCTAGCCCTTGACGTGCACGTGTTTGTCGGTGGAGAGTCTATACAGGGCCTCTGTTTCCCTGAGTGAACAAACTTCTGGTGCAAACACGCACCCGGTTTTCAGGTGGAGTGGTAAGCGCTTTAACGGGGGCACAAGGGACTAAGGGTCCCCAGAAAAGAGGGATTCACTCTGCCCAGGGGATCTCAAAACGCCTCCTGGAGGAGATGCTGTGCTGGAGCTTGAGAGATGAGCGGGTAAAGGAGCCAGAGAGGCGCCCTCCAGCAGAGGCAGCAGCGCGCAGAGGGCGGGGACCTAGCGGCCTGAGAGGTGGGAGCGCAGGCGGCGGGGGCGGAGCCAGGTGGGCGGGGCCCGGGCCGGGGGCCTGCAGGCGGGCACGGCCGGAGGACCCCCAGCGTCTGGTCCGGTGTCTCCCTAGGTCCCCTGGGCCGCCGTGACTCTGCTGCTGCTCCTCTTGCTGCCGCCCGCGCTGCTGTCGCCCGGGGCGGCCGCGCAGCCCTTGCCCGACTGCTGCCGCCAGAAGACGTGCTCCTGCCGCCTCTACGAGCTGCTGCACGGCGCGGGCAACCACGCGGCCGGCATCCTCACGCTGGGCAAGCGGCGGCCCGGACCCCCAGGCCTCCAGGGCCGGCTGCAGCGCCTCCTGCAGGCCAGTGGCAACCATGCGGCCGGCATCCTGACCATGGGCCGCCGCGCAGGCGCAGAGCCAGCGCCGCGCCCCTGTCCCGGGCGCAGATGTCCCGTGGTGGCCGTCCCCTCTGCAGCGCCTGGAGGGCGGTCGGGAGTCTGAGCTGCCGCTCGCGCCGCGTCCTGGCCCTGCCCTCTCCTCGCTGCCCGCCGGATGTCAGCCCCCGACAAAAGGTCAATAAAGACGAGTCTCTTAGTGTGGCTGGTCTCTGTTCTGCGTGGTCGCGTTCCGTCCTGCAGGGGGCGGGAGAGTCTTTCGAACTATAAAGAGCTCGCGGCCTGAAAGCCTGGCTCTGGGGCACCTCCGCCCTGGCGTCTTCCAACTGGAAACACAGAGCAAGGAACTGTGTGAGGCCCCGTGGTACGGAGACAACCGCACAGGTGCATGGTCGGAGGGAAGAATGGGGGACAGACGTATCTCTCAATGCTCTAGTAACCATTCTGTATCTCGGCCTTTACAGCAGACAGGGAAGGGAGGGAGAGCCAGGAAGGTTGCACCGAGGAGCGGAGTCTGGCTGGGAAGGGATAGGAGCTGAGCTTGCTGAAAAGGCCAAGAATATAAGGTTCAACATGAGCTGCACGGTGGTTGACGTTGTGGGGAGCGGTGAGGCGCTGGAAGGGAAGGAGACAGGATCCTGCAGCCTAGATTGTGAAAGCCCTCACAGATCATCAGGCTTTACCTTTCATTCTGTAGGTACGTGGAGTCAGGAGAAATTCTTAACCAGAGACGGGACAAGGTTTTCCTGCGTCTTTAGCCAAATGCACCCCTTACCCCCAATATACGTTGGAGTCCTAACTCCCAGTACTTCGTACAGGATCTTATGTAGAAATAGGGTCATTGTAGATGTAATTAAGATGAAGTCATTCTGGAGGAGAGTGGACCTCTAATCTGGTATGAGTGGTGTCTTTACAAAAAGGGGGAATTTGAATGCTCAGAAACGTACACAGGGAGAAACCACGTGAACATGAAGACAGAGGTGGGGTGATGCAACTATAAACCAAGGAACACCAAAGATTGCAACATACAGAAGCTAGAAGAGAGACATGGAACAGATTCTCCTTCACAGGGATCCCTGGGTGGCTCCGCCGTTTAGTGCCTGCCTTCTGCCCAGGGCGTGATCATGGAGTCCCTGGATGGAGTCCCACATCAGGCTCCCTGCCTGGAGCCTGCTTCTCCCTCTGCCTGTATCTCTGCCTCTCTCTCTCATGAATAAATAAAATCTTAAAAAAAAAAAAAAAAGATTCTCCTTCATAGCCTTCAGAAGGAACCATTCCTACCTTCTCTTGATCTTGGACTTCTAGCCTCCAGAACTGAGACAATAAATTTCTGTTGTTTAAACCAGTTCATGGTCCTTTGTTATACTAGCCCTAGGAAACTCATATAACACCCAAAAGTAGAGACCCAGAAGGATGTGGCACTTTTAAGCAATCTAACAGTCCAGATAACGCCCAGTTCAGACTCTGGGGGTGAAGGTGAGGAGCTATTGGCCTGAGATGAGCACCAGCCTCTCTTCCCATTCTCACGGCTTTGTTCTGGGAAGCAGCCACCCTAACCCCACATTCAGCTGCTCCTGTAATTTTCTGTGCTTGTAGTGAAAAAGTCCCATGTCTGGTTTCACCTCCGTCCTTCTTGTTGCTGCCCTGGTTTCCTCCTCGGGAGATAGAGATCAAAGACCACCAGTAAATACACCTTTGAGATTTGCAAACTGACTGCCCACTTGAAGTTTTCTGGGCAGCTCGGATGGCTCAGCGGTTAGGCACCGCCTTTGGCCCAGGGCGTGAACCTGGAGACTCAGGATCGAGTCCTGCGTCAGGCTCCCTGCATGGAGCCTGCTTCTCCCTCTGCCTGTGTCTCTGCCTCTCTCTGTGTGTCTCTCATAAATAAATAGATAAAATCTTTAAAAAAAAAAAAAAAAGGAATTATCTTTCTTGTCCCAGCCTCTCTTCCCACTTGAATGGCACCAGAGAAAAGGAGGGTTCAATCAAGACTGTAGGAAGAGAGAGACAATTGCTCTCCAACACACTTAGGGTGTCCCCCAAACATGCATGATGCTATTAGGTTCTCACCACCCCCATGAGTTGAAAATTATTAGCTCCATTTTACAGATAAGGAAAATGAGGCTTGAAGAGGC